TGATGTAAGTTCTGATCGGACAGCTCAAGCATTGTTTACCCTAGTTACAAGTTGACTAGAAAAATACGACTACTAATCAAAATTTGTTGGACAATGTTATGACGGCGCTAGTGTTATGTCAGGGCAATTAAATGGTTTACAATCGAAGAATAAGGAAGTTCATTGTTTGGCGCACCGTCTAAATTTAGTCATATCTCAAAGCTGTAATAGCATTTTGAAGTGCCGTATATTTTTTGCTAATGTGAATGGTATGACTTCTTTTTTTCATCATTCAGCAAAAAGAACTCACGCCGCCGATGTAATCTTCAATAAGCGAATACGAAATAAAACATATATCTACGAAATACAATAACAGAAGATCAATTAAAAAGACACTCTTAAATGAACTTGTAAGATTAGAACCATTTTTTGATGATATAATAGATAATTTTGCAAGTTTAAAGGATAGGAGAATCGACCTTATGCACTAAAAATAAAAGTCGATTATTTTGTGTATTATTTTCAACGCGTCACCTACATTCAAACCCACGAGCCGCCACTGGACTGGGTTAGCGTTAAAATCAACCACCTCTGGCGATGCAGTCTTGTGGTGGGGTGGGTGGTGGGAGTGTAATGACAGAATGACAGGCGAATGATTTTTGTGGGGAGTGCCATGGCTGAGTTGTGTTTTCATTTTCAATTTGCTTAATTGATCTAGTTGACCACTGTAAACTTGTTTTCCGCTGGTATTTTGTGCTTTTTCCATAAAGATGCCTGGTAATTATAGAAAATGTTGTGAACCGAATTGCCTTGCCCCACCCTACGAATTCACCTGATTTATTTGATATTTGTGCACTTGCTGTTCGTTGTCCAAAATGGAACAAGACTACAAATTTATTCCACCTTTGTAGTATGTCATAAACATTTTGAAGAGAAGTTTAAAGTAGTTGGCTCTCGTCGAGTTCCAACACTTGAAGCATTTCCAACGCTATTCCTCCCAGCAGTTCCTGGAAGAGTAGCGGATGGACTTTTTCAAATTAATTAGAAATCGAATATGATCAAACATCTTCTGTTGCAAAGCTGTATCGTAGAAGAAGCAGACTAATAATATATGTTGGATTTCTTTTCGAGAAGAAAAGTTAGTACTCGACTCATTTATTTTATAATTATACTGTGTATTTTATGTTTCATGACGTTTGGGAGTTGCAAAGCTGTATCGTAGAAGAAGAAGCAGACTAATAAATATTGGACTTCTTTTCGAGAAGGAAAGTTAGTATTCGACTCATTTATTTTATACTTATACTGTGTATTCATCCTACTATCTGGAGATACGAATTTCGAAGTTTTGTCACTAGTTTATTGAAGTAACTCACTTTTTATAATATTTTAAGTAACATTAAGCATGGACAATTATTTTTTGTTTAATATTTTCATTTAGATTATAATTAAATGCAATATTTTGACCATGTAACCTAACTTTTATCATTATTTCCTTCCACAAAACATAAAACAAAATAATTTATGGATTTCTCTATCGGTCCTTGAGTTTGCAACGTTGCCAGGTTGTTGAATTTAAAATCACTGTGTGTTATGTGTTATTTCCAAGTTTGTATTTAATAGCGTTCTGTGATAGCAATAACTGTGTTGTTAGTTGTGAATTGAATTATTTATTATTGTCCTTATAACTAATAATAAAAATAATTAAAATTAAAAGTATCCTTGATGTTGTGGACGTTTATAAAAAACGGAAAGTAATTGCTAACATAGTTGGTGAACGCGCGCTCTTTTTCCATCTACACCATAAAAGCATCATACTACGATTACTATGTTTGTTGGTTTGTCTCACTTACCTCCTAACTACTGCAGAAGACATAAGACAATAGGTTCTTTCGTTCGTCCCACTGGTGTAGGAATGAACTACACCAACGGACACTAAACCTTTCGTTTGGCCCGGTGTAAAATCCACAACACCTTCATGTCGGCGATGTGTCCACTGGTGGATATTTCCTCCAGCAACTATTTAGCAGGAGTGAATTACACTCGACATGTGTATAAGGAATAAGAGGAAGTAAACTAAGTAAATAAGGTGGTGTAATTGAGACTGGTGCACACTGCACTAACAGTGAACGAAAGAACCTAATGAGTGAAGCCACAGCCAGAGAGATGTAGAAAGGGTGTGTTCGCTTCGCTAGCTCCGAGACTTGCTCTTTCCTATACTTGTCAGGATGTATGTGGAACAAACGTAGAGCACTCTTATGGCGTAGAAGTAAAAAGGGCGCGCTCTAAACGTAGGCCTCGCGCGCTCGTTTCGCTCTGTAGTGGTTAGTAAGTTGGTGTGTTAGCCTACCGTGCTCATATGGTGTTGATGTAAAAAGGGCACGCTCGCTTCTGTAGTGTTTAGTAAGTGGGTGGGTTAGCGTACCGTGCTCATATGGTGTTAATGTAAAAAGGACGCGCCCTGCAGACGTTTCGAGATTCGCGCGAATTTCGGAACGTCGGCCATGCCAACTGGCTTTGCTCGCTCTTTTCTGTAGTAATTAGTAAGTAGGTGGGTTAGCGTACCCTGTTCTTATGGTGTAGGTATAAAAAGGGCGCGCCCGGCCGACATTTCGAAATTCGTGCGAATTTCGAAACGTCGCGTCGGCCGGGAGCGATCACTTCACTCTTTTCTGTAGTGATTAGTAAGTAGGTGAGTTAGCCTAGCCTGTTCTTATGGTGTAGGTGTAAAACGAGTTTAGATAACATAGGCATACTATTTAAATGTATTACCTACTACTAAACTATTTATTTACTCCTATAATTTTCAGATGCAATTATGTTTAAAAGTTTTCGAAAAGTACATTGATTATTACTTTATGTATGATGTAATATTAATATTTAATTATTATGTACTACAACAATTCAATCAAAATGGTCGGATGTGAATGGAAATAAATTAATAGAAGTATTGCTTTTTAAAGTGTTTGGAAATGTCAAAAATAAGGTAGGTAGGTATTTTTTTATATTTCTATTTCGTTGATATTAGACATTTGGTAAAATCGCTCATTTGTATTGACGGAACATAACAAAATTCCAATGAATAAATTTACATAAATTATCCTCATAAGCCCAATACATAATTTTTTTAGAAAAACGTTAATTTATGGGGTTTCCAGTGGTAGGTATATTTAAATAATACTCTCTTTACAAAGCCCAAAATGAAAGTTTTGTAAAAAATTGTATTTTTCTACGATCACTATCCAAAGTAAGCATTTGCACTTTGAAATTTAACCGCAAAGTTGACGTTTTCCGCGAACTGACATCAAGTGACATAAACGATTTTCGAGTTATTTGTACGCTATTTTCATGATGAATGTATATATTAGGCAACACTACTTACGAAAAATTTTCAGTTTTTATATCTATTTTTTAAAATAATGTGATCGTAGAAAAAATATTGTCGTTGCCGCTTTCTGTCTTAAGCGGCAAAGTATCACTTTTTGCTCTTAATACACAAATAGCTATTTTAAGAAAAGGGCATCTTCTCAATATTTACCGAAATTTAATTTTTTTTTATTTTATGTACGATTATTATCGTAAGTAAACCAAATATATGATTTATAAAATAATCCTGAAACTTATAATTTCATTAACAACTTGGCAACCTTGTTATTTTCAAGACAGAATAAATGTTTTGTGAAATTGAGTTTATTGATTAATTTTTTTCGTAAAATGCTGGTTCATCCTTAAATTTTTCTACAAAATGTACTATAGAAACTAGTACCTTTTGAGTGTTGAACTTTTTTTTTTGTGAAATAGCACATCCGGATAGTAGGATGGACACGTATTTCATGACTTTGGGGGGTCCAAAGCTGTATCGTAGAAGATGCTGGACTTAAAATGAAAAGTATTCCTCTGACTTATCATTTTTGATTAATACATTTTAATGACATTGTATACTGTCTTTCCTGTTTCTCAGATAAAATTCTTCATAAAATGAGGAGCAGTGCTATATCCTGGAATATGTAGCAGCTTGATATCCAGCTACTTCATACATAATACAGTTTTCATATACATAATACATTTGTTAAATATTGGATTTGTATTATATTATATTGTTTTAATAAATTTATTGATTAATTATGCTTGTTTTTTATCTAAAAACTGTTAGTCAAGTTAAGATTGGTTCATTCAACTCAATTTTTGCTTTATTATAGTGTGTGAATAAATCCTAATATGGCTAACAGTTTTTAATGCGAGTAATTTTTACTGTCAAATTTGAATGGCCCAGCGCTTTTCTTCTCTTCTTTTTGTTATTCTTTTTTTCTTCTTTTATATGGTCTCTCACCCGATAAGCGTTTACTTGAAAAATCAACCACGCCCGCCAGGTGGCGTTGAAATACTATCACCGTTTTCTAACATGGGAGTTACTGTTCCTCTAAAACGCACAAAAGGCTTTCAAAATTACATTATAGTCATGGTTGAAGGTGATTTCCAGGAAAGTTCGCAATTTATTTTGACGTGTGACAGCACTGTAAAGCAAGCGTCGTAGTCGTAAGTACTGATTCATTCATAAAACGCGTACTCACACCTCAGATAAACAAGCTCGCACAAATCATCCCTACTCAATTTAGCAGCCATCTCGCTCGTTCTAATGCGGCAGCCAATGCGACAGCTCTGTCCTTGCAATAAATAAGGACTTATGAAAGAATGGATTAGTTTAGTGGTTTTTGGTCTTGGTAACCAAATACTAAATATAAGTTATTGAACACCCTATATATGCGAAAATAATTTTATTTTTTTATATGCTAGATATATTCGGATTTTTCATAATAATGGATCACCTTGTATAAAAATCCAAAAATCCTTATAAAACAAAAACAGTAAGGGCGGGTTGTACAATACGCGGTTAAAAATAAACCTTGTTTTAATTTTATTGTACTATGTTTATACAATGGGGTTCACAGTTGAAACTAAGTTTACGTTTTAACTGCCTATTGTGCAACTCGCCCCAAGGATTATTAAAAAATGTTTTTATTTACTTTGGTGACGATGAACTGTTGGCGCTCGACGATACGCCCCAGTCGGTGTTTTTGGTCTTAACGGCTATGCGTTCTGATTCGACGATTTCCCCAATTTTGTATTTGTTCATCAGTTCTCTGGCATCGCTGGAGTGTCCGACGTCTTCGAAGGCTTCGCTTGCTTCTCTACCCGCTTGTTCCAAGAGGACTTCTTCACCACCAGGGTGCTAAAACAGACAACGTTTACGATATAGTGGATATCCAATAAATATTTTGGAAATTATAAGAACATATGTCTGTTAAAAACCAACAAAACTAATCCGCTTTATCCAAAGTTGGATTCAAATATCAATAAATGAGAACCCTTGAGCAAGATTAGTCCATGTAACAACACTTACTTTTGAGATATGCAACATTTTAGGTATTAGTATTTATTTACAAAATGCAAAATGTTTTTAAATTTGTTTTTTTTATAAAACCTAAAATGTTCCATATCTCAGTAGTAAGTTTATTTTACATACTACTTCTTGTCTAGGGTCCTCAAATGTCACTTTTAATAAAATAAAATTATAACAAAGTTATAAAATAAAATGCACGCCAGATAGCCTGCTTGGGAGGAATTGAAAGGGGATCATCAGAACATCGAATTGGACCAACAAACCAATTTGTAGCTTTATTATATTTCACAGGTAATCCCCGTCCTAAACGCTTTATTGCTTGGGCTATCAAAATAGGAATGTAACGTTTTAAAGTTTAAAACCGCGACTAAAATTATTTTTTATTTATATGTAAATATTTATCAATTTCTGACATAAAAAAGGAGAATTAATTCGCCATTACAATAAAAATATCCTTTAAGATATCAGAAACATGATCGGAAAAAAGTATCTTTCATAAATTGTATTATTTAATATTCCTAAAACATCGACGAAAATTATCTCTTCCCATAACTAATTTTTTATGTGTAAATTAACGTTTTGATAATGTAAGTAGTAAGATGAAACGCAAAATTATGCTTATCTAAACACCTGTTATTAAATTCCTACTTCCAGCAATTCAAGGTAAGCGGCTAAGGCTGAAGGCTGGTTAAATATTAATTTCATGCAGTTGTAGATAAAATCCGATTACAATAAGAACACAGCTACGTCATAACAATTATTTCGAATTTCAAATATAATCTATAACTGTCAATAAATAAAGAATATGTGACTTGTTAGTTTTAAATATTATTCCTATAATATTAACACGCCACTAAACCTCCAGTAGGCAGCTACAGCCAACAAATTACTCCGCCAATTGATGACGTAGCTGTGTTCTTCTAATTATTGTAATCGGACCCTAGTCAAGGTTCACGGTAGTCACTGAACCAACCCAACCTGATGTCTGTTATTTATTATGTAAATACACAAGATATTAATTAATTTTGATCTAATGGTATTTTCATTGACCTTTTTAAATCAACCGAAACACTTTTACTTCTTTGCAATGTTTTACAAATATGTAATTTTATTTTCCTTTCGATTTTCATTTGGAGGCATCCATTAAGGTACCATTTGGGTAGGCGCGTCAAGAGGCAAGCGACCACTGATGCGACCCCAAGGTCGAGTAGGACGACAGATGCATAAATGTTACGCCTGGTGCATTTCGCAAGCTTGAGAAGTGTCGCGCGACAGTTACAAGATAATCATTCGAGGGAACGATCAGCGTTGTCAAACCTACTGTTTTCACGTAGATCTACTGTTTTTGTCTATATCAAATTTTGTTCTTAATTTATTAAGTTTGCCTCATTCTTCAGCAAATGGTTAAAGAATATTTTCTCTAGTAAATTTTCTGCAGTAAAAGCAGCATAATAAGCATCCACTACTCTAAGTTGGCTCCATAAAAAAAAACATCAAGATAATCATTGTTTTTATTTAAAATGAAAGAAAGAATTAATAGGGCATCATAAAAAGAACATGCACATTACGATTTTGAATTATCTGTTTCAGACAGAACTAAAAGAAGTAGGTACCTATTATTTTTCATTGTTCTTTTTTTGTTTCCGTACGTTAAGCATATATTAAAAATGTTATTATTTGTTTTTATTCTTTGTTTACCTTCTAATTTGGGTCGACAAAAAGTTTATTTTTCGTTTCTTATATACTTGTTTTTTTATTTACTACACTGCAAATTTTAATTATTTCCCCCTGTATTAAAATCTACTGTTCAGATCTACGGTTTTTTTTACCCATACTGTTTTAAAATCTGGCAACGCTGCCTAGATCGAAAGAAATTTCCGACGGAATCACCCCCAAAAAAAAGCGATGCCGAGGACAGTGACCTCGAGTGCGATACGCATCAAAGCTTTGCACCGAGAAGTGTCTCCAGAACGACACTTCTCGGTCGTGTCGCGCCGTCCGAAATGTGTTTCATATAATTGTATGTATTTTAGATGTGAAGCGACACTTCTCGGTCGTGTCGGCGGTCGTCTGTCGCGCCTACCGAAATGGTACCTAAATAGGTACGTGTTACGTGAGCTGAAAATGGGGGAGGGGTCCGGCAAAATCTCATTTAAAGGGGAGTCAATGAAAATCTCACGTCAACTTTTCAATTTAGAGAAGATACATTATTATGACAGATAACATTTTGTATTACAAAATCAATCCGAGGAATAGACAATATTAAATATTAGGGATGAGAGAGACACATTTCGATCGCCTTATGCGGTCGCTTGCCTCTGTCTCCTACCTTTAAGGTACCATTTGGGAACGCTAGACCGAAGCACGAGACAGAGACAGACGACCGATGCACTTACGTTTACGTGTTGAAAGTGCTGTCGCTGTCTCTTGCATCGGTGGCTCTTTCCTAAATGTGCTTCATATATGTGATTCAGACGTAAAGAGTCGAATTTCGGTCGCCTTACGTAGTCGCGTGCCTTTGCCTCCTGACGCGGTCCTGCGTACCGAAATGGTACCTTTAAGGTACCATTTGGGAACACGCGACAAGCGACCCAAGACAGCAATAAGGCGGCAAATATTGCCATACTAAATCTGCTATCGTCGGTCTCGTCTACCGAAATGTGTTTCATATAATTACATGTGTTCATACGTGAAGAGACCGTTTTTGGTCCCGTTTTGAAGTCGGTCTCGGCTTGTGAAATGGAAGCTAAAAGGTACCATTTGGGAACCCGATACCCATATAGGCAATAAGCGACCGCGTAATGAGACAGACATGTAATTAATGAAGCACATTTGGAACAGCGCGACCGATGCAAGAGAGGCGACATCGCTTTTAACACGGCAGTGCTTTCTGCCTCTCGTCTGTCTCGGTCTCGCGTGCACTTTCGTAACTGTTCCAGAACCTTTCGAGCATGCCCAGTAGATATTCGCTGTTTTGGTTTTGCCATAACCAATTCTGAACCTGTAAATTCGGTTCGGGTCCAAAGCGAAAACTGTTTCAGAATTAATATGTTTGCGCTTGCCCCTTTTTGCAAGTAGTTTTGTTTTTGGGACCCTGGTCATGTTTGTGTTGGAATTTTTACAAGGAATTTTCGAATGGCGAATGAGAATGTAGCAGTTGATTAGTTGATGTTGTGTTTTAAGGGTAGGAATAAATTATTTCATTTATCTACGTTTTACAATATTACATGGTCTCTTTCTTACTTAGACACTAACCCTGTGTTATATCTTCCTTTTTATTTATAATTTATTTTTTGACAATTAACTGTTCTGGTAGTTGTTTTGATTTCGAGTAAAAATGGATAGTTACAGAACTGTTCAGAATTTAGGACTATTGCGCAATAGTTCTGCGCATGGTTCTGGAACAAGTCTAGAACGAGAACCAAAACAAACCTATAATTATAATAAAATGCATCGCATTTGACAACTGTGCGTGTGGCTGTTTTTCGAATTAGCACCTCTGCGGTGTGTTTGTGCATATACAGTGTGTGTCATAAAGTTTAATCTATATTTTTAATATTACGATTTAAAAAACGACCTCTGCTTATTTAAAAACTTAAAATAGCCCATATCAAACTTGGCTACTGATGTTAGTTTTCTGTAGAATTCGCATTAAAAAAAATGATTTTAAACGATTTTTCAAAAAAAAAAGCGAATTTGATTGATAACTAATGCAGTACCTAGAAAACTTTTATATGGGCTATTTTAACTCTTTAAAAAAGTAGATGTGTATGCCCTAAGACGTTTTATTTAATCGTAATATTAAAAAAAATGTATCCAATTTTATGGAACATAGGGTATAAAAATTGATGGAAAAAAATGTTTCTAAAGTAGGCCATAACAAGATAAATGCGAGTCATGTCCACGATAATTAGCACGGATCTGAATTAAATCCAAATTGACATTTAAAAAGAGGAATTGAACGCTACGACAAGCTTGAATTTTTCCCAGAAACATTTTTTGTGAATCACTCCATATATTGATAATACGAATATTTAATTGTGAAAGAAGAAATTATATCTGAACCAAACTAAGTATGTATATAAACAATAGATATAAAAATTGGGACAAACGTTTATAAAACAATAGCTATTTATGTAACCAGTTAGGAAACAAGTACCTTATTTTGTGTAACGAGTTAATGAACAAATTACACAAAAAGGAATTTCATAACGTGTTACATACATTATTTTATTTTTCTCCTACTTTATAAAATTGTGCTTAGTAAAAAAAAAAACTATAAAATCATTATTTTTTTTTTTACTTCCAATCAAATATTTTAGCAAATTAATATTTAGAAAATTGTTGTATTATTTGAATAAACACAAGTGGTTATTTCAAATATTTTTTAAAAAGAAAATATTAATGTATGGTCAATTGAAGACTTTGAATAATAGCGTCTCTCTATGCAACCAATGGACGGACGTAAACTGGGCGCAAAAATAATCCCTTTACCCCGATTTCTAAAAGGGTGTGTAATCCTGACATGTAAATTGGACGGACCGGACCTTTTCTTAAGTACCTGCCAGTGGGGTCTATTCTGTAACAATTCCTTTATATTTAACGGCCTTTAAAAATATTTGCGGCCTATAAAAACATGTTCGTATTCGTTAATTTACTTTTATCATTATTTAAACAGATTTCTTTAAGATAGTCCTCTAATGTATTTTAAAGATCCGTTTAAATAGTGACCGAATTAAAGAAGAAAATATTTTTAGAGGCCGTTAAATATAAAGGAATTTTTACAGAATAGATCCCAGTATGAGATAATTAATATAATCTAAATTAAT